CTCACCTCAGCCTCCCAAAGGCGCAGGATTACAGGCTGAGCCACCGAGCCCAGCTTGGGAACTTTCATGTGACCCAAAAAGTCAACACTTGATAGGAGGAAGGCATATTCTATGGAAATGAGAGACATGTGTCGTACTTCTTGTATGTAAATAAGTGTCAGAAGTGTCTTTTGTTAAGTTAATTTGTACTTAAAAGTTTGAAAACATAGAACATACTCTTTAATTTAAAATCAAATAATAAAATATATAAGGCAAAACCACTCCCAGGGGTTGGGTTTAGTGTCATTTATAGACTCTTTTTTTTTAGTTTGGGGTTCTCACTCTGTCACCCTCAGCCTTCCAAGTAGCTGGAACCACAGGCGTGTGCCACCACGCCCGGCTCATTTTTTGATTTATTGTAGAGACGAGATCTCACCAAGTTGCCCGGACTGGTCTCGAGTCCCTGGGCTCAGGCAATCCTCTTGCCTCTGCCTCCCAAAGTGCTGGGATGACAGGCATGAGCCACCGCACCTGGCTAGGTTTTTTGCATATATAAACAAACACATCTGGGGGAGAAAAACTAGTTGCAAAAGGACGTGTAGAATGCCTGCGTGGAATAAAATCCCTGCGTGGCCTTTTCCAGAAGGTAGCCCCCAGGAAGCATTGCTCCGTGCTTTCTCCCTTTCCACGTCAGCACCTGTGAAATGACTTCATTCTTTCTAGCGGCCGAATGGAGTCTCACTTTTTGGATAGAGCACGGTTGAATCATTTTCTATTGGTAGATATTTTGATTATCTTCAGATATTTGGCATTGCACGCTGTACTGCAATTAATGCCCAGATATGCATCCTTTCGGAGTCTTCCAAGTGATCCATTTTTAATGGTATATAGATCACCAAGGAAATGATGACTCTGTAGAAAGTGCTCTAAGCTGTTTTGGTCAGCACCACATAGATTTGGGCTTACGGTCAGTATAGACTGTAATTCTGACAGAGTTTGCGCTTTGATATTTGCCCTCTACGGGAGAGTATCTTCAGTCCACTCTGTTGCTCAGAGCCATTAGATGTGTTTTTGGAGTCTCTCTTGCTGGAAGTGGTAGTGCAGTTATTTATTCTGAAGCACATCTCTTGGGCAAGTGTCCAGAATTTCAAGCTTGCAGGTCTCCGGTTTTCAAAATATGAACACTGCGTATTGTTTCCAAAAGGAAACAGTTCTCAAAGGTCTTTGTCCTTTTTAGCAAATCTTCTGCACTGGCTATTAATAAAACTTACTCAGGAAAAACTTTTAGGACCTGTCACTAAAAGATCAAAGTCAATCTAGTCATTATATACCTACGGTTAAACAGAAGGTGGAAGTCTGTTAGAACTCAATTATTCTGTCCATTGTTTTGTAAAAGAAAGAGTGCAAATGGATGTTAGAATGTGTCTATTTAGGTTGGTATTCAAAATAAAATGGAATTTTAGTTTATTAACACGAGGCACAGTTCCATGTTTTGTTGATTTAATGCTCTGGAATGAATATGCAGCTTGTTAAATATGAAAGTACCCCTCTTCCTGTGTTATCAGGCGTAGGGATGAGTCCCCAGGCGTTTGGCATCCATAGAGCCCAGACTTTGAGGAGCAGGGTCTCGGCCTTGTTTGTTTCCACGATGAACCCACACTGGCTTATTCTAGGAGTTGAGAATGTTTGGCTGAGTGGCGTGCTGGGCTACTTAAAGAAAAAGAAAAGACAGATTAAGGAAATTAAGAAAAAAGCCTTCTCGGCTGTATGCGATGGCTCGCGCCTGTAATCCTAGGACTCTGGGAGACTGAGACGGAAGGATCACCTGAGTCCAGGAGGTCGAGGCCGCGGTGAGCCATGATCGTGCCACTGCACTCCAGTCTGGACGACAGTGAGGACCTGAGGAAAGAAGGAAAGAAAGGCAAGCCTTCTCAACAGCGTGCATCAGAGATGGCCCTTGTGGGGGCGTGCAGTCCTGCAGCCCTAGGCCCCGGAGGGCCTGGAAGAGAGAGCGCTGAGCGCAC